TGACGGATTATTCCCACTTTCTGAGATTGGGAGGTTTTATTTTTTTTTCTCATAAATGAATACTTAGAAGGCAAGGATATTTTTATTTTCATTTCAGATTAATATGAAGGCACAAACCATTAGGTTATATAATTTACCATGAAAGGTTAAGGTCAGAGTTATAGCTGTGTCCTAACCCCGGGGATGTGTCCTATGTCCATGCATTGTGCTTGGGGGGTGTGAAGCTACTAAACCCTTTTTCCCTCCCTAATTTCATTGAGAGTTTCTCTCATGCGGGTCTGTGATGTTTAATCTTCTAGTTTCAAATTGGTATTAAGTCCATGCGAGGATTGTTTTTCTGTTATTGTGATACTTAGGAGAACGTTCTCCAAATCCATCCAGGTTATTAGGATAAAAAGTCTCCATCTATTTTTGTAGCTGAGTAGTATTCCATGGTATACACAAAGCACAGTTTAGTCCTTGTGTTGAAGGGCACGTGGGTTGTTTCCACCTCTTTGGTATTGTGAATTGTGCCCCTATAAACATTCAAGCATAAATGTACTTGTGGTAAAATGCCTTTTTTTCTTTTGGGAAGATAGTGATGGGATTGCAGGATCAAATGGTAGGTTGGCTTTTACTTTTTTTTTTTTTTTTTTTAAGGCGAGCATGATAAAAAGTTCATCGAGGAAGAGAAAGGTAGGTTTATAGAGTAAAAACAAGATATAGGCTTACAGAGCAAGATAACGTCCTCCATAGACAGTGAACAGGCCTCCACTGCCAGGACAGGTGGGCAAAGAGGCCTATTTTTAGTCTTTTGAGGAGTGAGAGGCTTTGCTCATTGAAAACCTCAATTGTTCCGGTGAAGGGTTAGCTCGAATGTACGTCATCGATTTCCTCTGCCCCTTTTGGCTCTGTTTCAGGACAACCATTCCTTTGTATCATTACACTAATATTGGTAGAAAGATGTGTTGCATTTGGCTTCATCCTGATGCCATCAGTCCCAGTTTGCCTGGTCTAGGTACAAATAAATAAAATCCAGTTTACCTATAAAAAATAAATTACTAAATAATTTAAATTAACATCAAATTGAATACAAGTTTAATTAATTACATTATGAATTTAAATTAATAATTTTAATTTGAATAAACTCAAAAATTTAATTTGTCAGTGGCACTCGCCCTGTTTTGAGGGCTCCACAGTCACATGGCCTAATGCCTGCCATGTTGGATGCCGGCACTGCAGATATAAAATGTGTGTGTCATTACAGAAAGTTCTGTCCGTGCTGAATTCTAGAGTTTGCCGCTCCGAGTCTGGTTCTCAGAAGAGTGGCAGCACTCGGGAACTTGTTAAGAATGCAAAATCTGGAATGCACCCTAGACCTTCTGAATCAAAGTCTGCATTTTAACAAGATTCCCCTAGTGATTACACACTCAAATATAAGGAGTTCTGAGCTGTAAGATTCCCTCTGGCCCTAAAGAGAAAATGGAAGAATCTGAGTGTCTGCTTGACAAAGTCTTTGAGAAATAAACCAGCAAGCAGCTTACTAAAATTCTGATTCACTGATTTGCTTAAAAGAAAAGAATGGGGACTTTCTGAAGAAAGATCAGCAGAACGGCCACACCTCCATGGCAGAGAGAAGAAATCAGGCAGGGTCCAAGAGAGGCGTGGACAGCATGGCAGCGCTCAGCTCGGGCATTCAATCTTTACCTCACGAGCAGAGAATGGAAGTTCTCAGTTTTCTCTGACAGCAAAGAAACAAGAAGAAACGGATTGCATTTACTGGGCACCTTATTTCCGGGGAGTCTCAAGGTGCTTGCTAAGGTTCCTCACATTCCACCTGGCCAGGAAGGCGCAGGCAGGTCTTCAATTCAATTAGGGGACATGAGGAACACTGGAAGTGACAGAGGGCCAGCTGGAACATTAGCCTCGGGGCCCAAAATGCTGCTCCGTGTGGCTTCAGCTATAAAATAGGAGAGAAATGTTTTTGGTCCTCTCACTACAGAAAGTTTTGGTGTCTCTTGGTGACATGCTATTTTCAGTACAAAACCAAGAAGGATAAAGTTAGAGCTTTGCTTGTTATGAAGCTGTGCCTCTTACAGGACAAAATTGCAGTAGTATATCTTATTTGATATTAGATTTTATTGCAAAGTGTTAACGTTTTAATGTCTACATAAATCTCTTTCATTAAAAAAAAAAAAGGACTGTTTTAAGAGCATGCTGTATAAGGAGGAAGGGAAGAGAAGGAAAAATAGATCCAGAATATACGTTATTAATTTTTCAGGAAGCAAGTAAAATGGTACCTCATAAAGAAAATTAGAAAAAAATAAAACAGCTGGGATTTCTGATTCAGTTTAGAGAGGAGGAATCTGCTAAATTGAGACATAGCCTTACTGGGACAACTATTTTGATATAAGTGAACAGATAGAGGAAATGGTTTTGTGATACACACATCAGGTCTTAAATAGCCACTAGTAGAAATTGTGATGTGTTTCCAACAGGGACAAACACAAAGAGCTGAGCATGCTGTCACTTGACCCAGCATCACAGAACCTGAGCATGTTGCAGGGGAGAGGCCTGCCCAGGAGTCGGGCAAGCCTGGTGTGAGTCCCTCTGTGCCATCTACTCTGTGTGATCACTGACAAATCTCAGCGAGGGCTCAGAGCCTCAGATTCCGCTGTTTAAAATGCAAAGAACATCCACAGATTTTGCATGGGAGTTGGGGGCAGTGGCAAAAAAAATCTATCAGTGTACCAGTTGGTCAAATAATGGTTTGAGGTCAGTGCATAGAGACACGCCTGTGAGGAGAGGCAGCAGCTCCTGGCCTGCTCTGGTGCAGGCATCTTGTCCTCTGTCCACCTGCCTACCGGCTCATCTACCGGCCGTGAAGCAGGTCTGACATGGGTTGGCAATGCTGGGGAAGGTTCAGGAGCACAAGGACAGGTGGTCTCTGTCTTCCTGGAGGCTGTGCGTGTTAGTATTGCCAACCTTTAACGCAAATTCTAATTCTGAAAGGAAGCAAGCTTGGAGGTGGGGAACTACCGCCTTTTGCTGGTCCCCATTTCAAGTACTATTCTAATTCCCTTTCTTCTTGTCAGAATGAGAACATCCCCACGGGGGGATCTGGAATCTTGCTAAGGCCAAGCCTATGTGGTAAACACTCAAGTTCTCCCCACACCTCTTTCCTGCTCTGAGCATTTCCATTCAGAAGCCCTCTCTAGTCTTGCTGGAGAAATTTACACACATTTGTTCCTAACCTGTCTATGTCCCTCATCTTATGTCTGCCCTTCATTAACCTCATTCAGCCTGAACACAAGAAGAAAATAACTTCCTCACCTCTGGCTGTTCACTTCATGCCCTCTAGCCAATGCCCAGATTCAGTGTGGCTCACTGCTTCTAATAGTATTAAGCTGATCAACAAACCCAGCCCCGTGATGGGAGCAATGAATTTATTTGAGAGTATTTAAAAATTGATCAATAGCCTCATTAAAATCCCATGCCTAATTAATAATACAATACTCTTTAGATATTTTCAGGTCAATTAAAAAAGAAAATATCAGATTTATTTTATCGTATTCTAAACAAAGCTAAGCCTTTCTGAGTCCATCGCAGACCTAAATCTGCATGGCTGATGGGGTGGTCACAGCCTCATAGCACCTTCATTTCCAGATCCGAGAATAAAGAAAAGATGGTTAACTCAATGACAGAAGTATTCTTATTTTCCCCATAAGTTGTTGGAAGGCAACTGTATTCTGAGGGTAGGTAGGTTGAGGAGGGAAGAAGCTATGGTAACAGGACAGATACAATGGCCTCAGCTCAACTCCACATTTAAGTCTGGATACCCTTGGTGTGCTTTCTGATCCATAAAATTGGAGCACAAGAAAATAGATGGTGTTTAAAGAGTAATCTTACATAATGCAGTTTATTGACATTTTGGACTAAGGTGCAACTCTTAAGGCTTACAAGAGTGAATGCTTGCCTTTAGCAATTAACAATGATTACCTAATAGACCAGTATGGAATTTAGAGCTTAAAATAAATCAGCATTTATTATTACCCCTGTGTCTGTGGTCATCAGGTAGCTGACTAGAGACTGGTTGGTCTAGGATGGCGTCTTGCACACATCTGGCAGATGGATGGTCATTGGCTGAGCTGGTGGAATTGACTGGACAGTTGCTTTTTGTCATCCAGCAGTTCACTCTGGTGTGACAGGCTGAGCTGACAGCTGCCCAAAGGTGCTCATGTCCTAATGCCCAGAAAAGGGACTCTGCAGGCATGATTTAGTTAAGGATCTTGAGATGGGGAGATCATCCTGGATTATATAGATAAGCCCAATGTATTAACAAGGGTTCTTATAAGGAGGCAGGGGGATCGGTCATAGAGACAAGAGGGTATCAGAGTCATAGAAAGAAGGGGATCAGAGGCAGAGACAAAAGATATAAGGATGAAAGCAGAGGTTAGAGGGGAGGGAATATGCAACACGGATGGCTACAAGAGAGAGGAAGAAGGGTCCATGAACCAGGAAAGGCAGGCGACATTAAGGAAACACTTCTCCTTTAGAGACTCCAGAAGGATCACAGCACTGTGGGCCTGTTTTTGACTTCTGACCTGCAGAATTGTAAGGGAATGAACATGTGTTTCTTTACAACACTGTGTGGTGATTTGTTACAGCAGCTGACGCAGCTGGGTGTGTTAACACAGCAGCAGCAGGTTTCCAAGAGAACATGTGGGACCGGGTCATAGCTCTGAATTGTCACTGTCATCTCTGCCACATTCTGTTCTGAACCACAAGGCCAGTCCAGATGCAAGGGTTGGAAAAGTGGGCCCCACACCTTCCTGGAGTCTGTTTCTCTCACCTCTGGGTGGGAGAAGCTGTAAAGTCATACTGCGAGGGGGGACACAGAGAGGAGTAAAGAACTAAGGCCACTTTTTGCCATCAGCCTCCCACTATACCCATTACAAGTGCCAGAGGACATTCAAAAACATTTTCTGAACTTGGTTTCTTTTTTGTTTTCAGGCACGCAAGGAGCATGGGTGTCCGGACCTCAGGCATTGCTATTTTCCTAAGTCTCTGGGAGACTTACGTGTGTCCAAGAAGCCCCAGATGGACAGACTTGATCCAGCATTTGGGAGTGTGTTGTTGCGTTGCTTTCATTTCAGTGGGCCTCCTCTCTGTGGCCTTCTGCTGGTTTCTGTCGTCGGTCACGGCACTCACTGCCTCCTGGCTTATCACGTGCGTTCTGCTGTGTTGCTCCAAGCATGCTCGGTGCTTCCTTCTTCTCGTCTTCCTGTCTTGTGGCCTGCGTGAGGGTAGGAATGCTTTGATCGCAGCTGGCACAGGGATAGTGATCTTTGGACACGTGGAAAACATTTTTCACAACTTTAAAGGTCTCCTGGACAGTATGACTTGCAATCTGAGGGCGAAGAGCTTTTCCATACATTTTCCACTTTTGAAAAAATATATTGAGGCAATTCAATGGATTTATGGCCTTACCACTCCACTAAGTCTATTTGACGACCTCGTTTCTTGGAACCAGACCCTGGCAGTCTCTCTGTTCAGTCCCAGCCACATCCTGGAGGCACAGCTAAATGACACCAAAGGGGAGGTCCTGCGTGTCTTGTGCCAGATGACAACCACGACAGAGGTGGTGTCCTCACTGGGTCAGAAGCTACTTGCCCTCACAGGGCTTTTGCTGGTCCTACTTGGCACTGGCCTCTTCATGAAGCGGTTTTTGGGCCCTGGTGGTTGGAAGTACGAGAACATTTACATCACCAGACAATTCGTCCAGTTTGACGAAAGAGAGAGGCATCAACAGAGGCCCTGTGTTCTCCCGCTGAACAAGAAGGAAAGGAGGAAGTATGTCGTCATCCCGTCCTTCGGGCTGACTCCCAAAGAAAGGAAAAACCTGGTGTTGTTTTTCCTCCCCATCCTCACCCATCTCCTCATCTGGGTGCTGTTTGCAGCCGTAGATTATCTGCTGTATCGGCTCATTTTCTCAGTGAGCAAACAGTTCCGAAGCTTGCCAGGCTTTGAGGTTCACTTGAAACTGCACGGAGAGGTAGGGCTCATGGGTACTTCTTCTGGGGCATTTGCTGGGCTGTCTTTCAAAAGACCGTGAACTTCCTGAGGCAGGGCAGTGTCTTATTCATCTCATTCCTGGGGCCTGGCACACTGCTTGGCACATAGAAGGAGGCTGACGAATGCGGGCTCAATTGGATTGGAGTCCTAATGTTAGGGTGTGATTCTGTATTATAATATAATATTATGTATCTATTTATGTGTAATATAATATTACATATATTATAGTCTATTATATATTATGTTATAATATAATATTATAATCTAACACCTGGGCTAAAATGTAGGAGCTGTTGGCAGGACCACACTCTTTCCTGACTCCAGAGGACAATCCACTGTTTGCCTCCCCCAAGATTTTTTTTTTTTTTTTTTTTTGAGACAGAGCCTCAAGCTGTCACCCTGGGTAGAGTGCCGTGGCATCACAGCTCACAGCAACCTCCAACTCCTGGGCTCAAGCGAGTCTCCTGCCTCCGCCTCCCAAGTAGCTGGGACTACAGGCGCCCGCCACAACGCCCGGCTATTTTTTGGTTGCAGCCATCATTGTTGTTTTGGCGGGTCCGGGCTGGGGATTCGAACCCGCCACCTTAGGTGTATGTGGCTGGCGCCTTAGCAGGTTGAGCTATAGGCGCCGAGCCGCCTCCCCCAAGATTTGTAGTGGCCACTGACATGTTGCCTTCTCCTGTGTGTATGGAAACTCTCCTTCTGCCTCCCTCTTGAAGGACACGTATGATTGTGTTAAGATCCAGCAGGATAATCCAGGGTAATCTCTTTTTTCTCAAGGTCTTTAACTTAATTACATTTGCACAGATCTTTTTCCTGAATAACATTCATAGGTTTTTCCCTAGTATCTTTAGAGACCCATCTTTGAGTCTCTTACAGACCCTGAAATGTGGCAGTAGATGTCTGCGATGTTGAACATGAGGTTAATTCTTAAGAAGGAGTGTCTGGCATAAGCCTGGGACGTCAGGCTTTGGGGCCTGCCTTCCTCTGAGCCTCAGAGCTGTGTGAGCAGACTTCAAGCACGAGCAGTTTCTCTGCGTGAGAACTGCATTTCTGTGCACATCGAGTCCTCATCAAACATAGGAGAGCTCTCAATATATCAGTGTATGCTTTAAAAGATGGTTGTTGCAAACAAGCCCCTAAATAACCCAATAATATGGCTGGTAGCACTCACTTAAAAAATATTATCCTGGTGCTCTTGTTTTTTTGAGACAGATAGCTATTAGGTCAGTTGTTGTCCAACTTAAGTGTGTCTTAAGATGTTCCTGGCACCAGGTGTGGTGGCTCATGTCCATAATCCCAGCAGTTTAGGAGAGTGAAGTGGGAGGATTACAGCAGCCAGAAGACCAGCCTGGGCAACAGAGCAAGATCCTATGTCTTAAAAAAAAAACCATTTTTAAAAAATTAGCCCAGGTTGGTGGTGTGCATCTACTAGTCTCAGGTAATCAAGAGGCTGAAGCAGGAGTATCACTTGAGCCCAGGAGTTTGAGGTTGAAGGGCGTTATGATTATGGCACTCCACCATTTTGCATGACCGAGGGAGACACTGTCACTGAAAAAAAAAATTCCTGGGATGGATACAGAGTATCAAACATTTATAATTCACAGAGATTTTATTTTAAATGAGACAACATTTTTAGTAAAAGGCACTTCATGTGATTCCAAGGTAGGTGGTCCATAGACCCACACTTGGAGAGACTGGCTTAGGTGCTAGCAAGCAAGGACCTTCTAAACCAGTGGTCCTCAACCTTGGCCACAGAATTGCATCACTGTGGAGCCGAACCAAACAACCAACCCAAAAATTCTCTCTAGAATCCCCAGGGATTCTGAGTTAATTAGAAAGGGGTGAAAGATTCTGAAAACCTCTCTGAGTAATTCTAACGTGCAGCCTAGATTGAGAACCACTGTTCCAAACCCATCACCCAAAGAACAAAGCCAGAAATTCAACCTCTTATCACCTGGGGATGGATCTCAGAAAAAATATTAATTAGCCAAGATAGCGTCTTCCTCTGAGCGATGCCTCCTGGGTCTTGAGGACTCTGGTTTTCTTTCTCTGCTGTCTTTTTTCTCTCTTTGGCAGCTGTGTGCCAACAGAGAAGGCTGTGGTATTTGTATATCCCATCTTTAATTTTTTCTCTTCCATTTTCCCCTTGGAAATGTGTGATTATGTTGACATTTCAGAGGATCTGGACGTTGCCAGACACTTTTTTTTATTTTTTATTTTATTTTATTTTTTTTTTTTGAGACAGAGCCTCAAGCTGTCCCCCTGGGTAGAGTGCCGTGGCATCACAGCTCACAGCAACCTCCAACTCCTGGGCTCAAGCGAGTCTCCTGCCTCTGCCTCCCAAGTAGCTGGGACCACAGGCGCCCGCCACAACGCCCGGCCATTTTTTGGTTGCAGCCGTCATTGTTGTTTGGCGGGTCCGGGCTGGGGATTCGAACCTGCCACCTTAGGTGTACGTGGCTGGCGCCTTAGCCGGTTGAGCTATAGGCGCCGAGCCGCTTTTGTTTATTTTTAACCCGGGAATGGGGAAGCTGAGCCAGGTGGGGCGGTGTGTGTGTGTGTGTGTGTGTGTGTGTGTGAGAGACCCGGGCCGCGGTTCAGTTCGCTGGCCCAGGCAGGTGCCGACACCGATGCCGCTGGGATTTGGCCTCCTCTTCATCAAGGGGCATGAGGTTATGCCCGCTGCTGGGGGGGCTTGCAGAGAGGACATGGCAGCAGTGCTGCGGGTAAACCCTCCCCTGAAACCCCCCTTTCCGCCTCTGTCTGTGTCTCCCAGGGTCTCGGGGCCTCCAGCTGCTGCCTCGGCGCTTTCCCTTTGCTCCAGCTCAGCGATACGGTGCCTCAGCTCCTGCCCTCCTAATCCCCGGGCTTCTCAGAGTTGATTACTCAGAGCTCTGCTTCCCTGAAGAATTCAGTTAATTGCCAGGCCCCTGTTGCTCCAGATTATCCGGAATAGGGCGGATAATGGGAGGAGTGTTTCAAGTGAAAGCTGAGCTGTTATTTCCGACCTGCTTGACTGGGGGGGGGGGGGGCTATTGAAAGGGCCTCTCTTCCTCCCTCGTTCTCCTCCCGCATTCTCCAATCTCCCTGTCCCCCCTTCTTCCTTGCTTCTCTCTCATGTCTTTCTCTTTTAGAAAATTCCTTTGCCTGTTTTGCGAATTTGCAACATTTTAGACACATGGGGGGAAGCATCCAGAACAACGGAGAAGCTTTGCAATGACAACATCCTGACACCTTTGGGCACCGCTGGCTGCTGCGGATGCAAAGATGTCTCGGCTGTGATGGAATCCCATCGAGGGGCCCGCATCCTGGGGGGAGGCCGCCACATACAGAAGAAACACCCCCAGGGTGGTGGGCACAGTGCAGACGTGAGCACGGGACAGCGGCGGCTGCTCCTCTCAGGCCGTCCCCCGCGCCCTGGGAGACCGTGCTGCCCGCAGCCAGCTTCCCTGAGACCAGGATGCCCTCAGAGGCATCTGATCTTCGCCATCGCCACAGATTTGCAAAGAAGTTAAGCAGGAAGAGAAACATTGGCTCACAGCTCTGCCTATATTTGGCTCCCACTTGCATATAATTTTAAATACATGTTTAAAATAAAGATGGGAAATGACCCAAGTAGAGAGAGCTGTCTGGGTGGGCAGCGTATGTAACAACAACCGCGGTTTCTAGTTACCGAGCGCCAATCGGCTGCATTAACGTTTCAGGACTGCCTGACACCAGAGCCTGCCCTCCCTTCATTACTCACTCAGGAGAGGTAAACATACTTAAAAACCTTGGGGTTCCGTTTGGTATATTGCTTGGCATTTTGAAAGAATTAATGTCTCCCACGTTACCCTCAACCAACCCCATACAAAATTGTTGACTCAACCTTTCTGTCGCCCTGAGTCCCAACTGCAAACCCCCCAGTTAAATTCCTAGACTAAATAACTTCTCCCCAGACTGAACACCCGCTGCTTTCTTATTGCAGGATTTCTCATCACTGACTCAATCGGTGTGTTTGTTTCTTCAATAGTATTAAAGAGAGTGCATGCCTTTGCTCTGGGGACTGGCATCTCTCTATTTAATTATAGGCGGACTGTCTTTTTAATAAGAGAAAAGCAGAGACAAATGTTTCTCATTGTTTAGGCCCGGTGCTGGGGAATTTATAGATTTGACTTGACATTTGTATAGAGGTCCAGGGTTTGGGGTTTCCAAATTCTACACAGATACTGGGATAGATCTCAGGTGCAAGGGGTTCTCTGGGTGTGGCTGGGTTCTTTTTGAGAAGCCATTTACCTTCTCCTGGCCCCAGGGCTCTCTGGCTCTAGGGTGATAATAACTTACTGAGCACTCCAGTCTGCACGGCTAATGCTCTATCTCCAAGGTGTTTAATTTACACTGGGAATAGTTTTCGTGGGCAAGATCTGGTCCATTAATTCCTGTTTTACCAAATTAGAAAACAAATCCACCAAGAGACTAAATGACTTTCCTGAGCAAGGGGAGGAAAGAGCTGAATTGGCACAGCTTCTCCTGGTGGCTTGGCTGGGTAGCTCCATGTCATCTTCTGCCCTCTGCGTCAGTCTGCGGAGGGCAACTGGCTTGTTCTCTTACTGTCAAAAAAAGGAATGTACCCCTTGTGTGATCCAAGAGGGACAAAAAAATTCCTCTTTTTAAGATCTCCACAAATAAGGTTTTAGAGTCTCCTTCAGTAAAGTAGTCCAAGGGTCAACATAGCAACCTGGCAGGGCATATAGTACATGAAGTCAGACTAATACCCCCAACCCTATACTCCAGAAAGTTGATTAAAGGTAAGTCAGTGCTTCATCATCCTTGTGACCTTGGGGTCTGCTAAAGGGTTGTTTGTCCAGACTGGGAGGATGTGACTGGGTTAAAGGGGCTATGTTCTGTAACAATCTTTCCCAATTTTCCAGCCAATTCTCTAGCCTGCTGTTTTAGCTGACTCCCCTAATCTTTCATTAGCGCCATGTGGCCTAAAATATAGAAACAAATATTTCATTACATTGAGTTACATAGTCAAATTTGTTAAACGGATTTTTCTGCTTCCTTCTCAGAACCTTCTGTCATCCGATGGGTATGTGACTTTCAAAAGAAGGGACAGAGTAGATACACTTCATTAATACACTTCTCACAATGAAATCTATACCATCTTCTCACAAGCCCACTTTGGAAGACACATCCTTCTCCTTTACTCCAATCATAACACACCAAAGAATAGTTCCTTAAGCCAAAGCTTCCTGAATGTTTGAAGATAAATGCTATGTGTCACAGGAAAATACTTTGAAAGGCAGGAATTGAGTACAAAACTTGTGTGGGTTTTGATTATTTTATTCTTTCATTTCAGAAGCAAGGAACTCAAGATATCATCCATGATTATTCCTTTAACATATCTGTGTTTGAACCCGACTGCATCCCCAAACCAAAGCTCCTTCTGTCTAAGACCTGGGTTCCTCTCAGTGTTATTCTTGTGATACTAGTGCTTCTGGGACTATTGTCCTCCATCCTGATGCAGCTTAAAATCCTGGTGTCTGCATCTTTCTACCCTGGTATAGAGAGGGAGCGTGTCCGATACCTACATGCAAGGCTACTTAAGAAAAGATCCCAGCAGCCACCGGGAGATGTCAAAAGCAAACTAAGCCTGTACTTTACGGAGGTGAGGCCAAGTTGCGGTACTGCATGAAACCTCTAAGTAAGAAAGTGTTACCACTTATGGAGGGGATAGCTTTGGAGGAAAGTTAAAAAATATGCTTGCCTGAGGCTCTTAGCTTTGTGATCAGAATGCTTGTCCAGAAGTTTCTACATGATATCCTTCAAAATACTAGTTTAAAGTGAGTATGTTTGGTCATATTGCAGAGATGCTACTGTTAGCTATCAAAGGACAAAGACTGATAAGATATATGTTCCTTGGTCAAGGATAAAGAAAAAAAGAAACAGAAGAAAATACCTACCACAACTTTGTGAACTCCAAAGAATTTTCTCATTCTCCAGCATTTTTGATTCTCATATATGTATAAAATGGCTGCATATCAGAGATTTTATTTAACTAATTTATTAACAAGGGAACAATAAGAAATTACAACTAATTCACAGAAAACAATCAAAGAACACACACACACATAGGGCATCAGAGATACCAAAATGAATTTGCGAAGTAGATGCAAAACTGGCCTTTTCACAACAGTGGATGGGAGGGATCGATTGCACCCTTCACCCTACAGTGAAGTTCATTTTCATGTCACAGACAAGAATCATTTATGTCGTTGTTATCAGCCATCTACAACTTATAGATTTGGGAAATAGCTCATAGACAACGAAAGTCCAAAATGACCCACAAGGATATGGTTTTTGTCCATTTCAAAGTCTTTTGGCAATTTTTCCTGAAGCCTTGAACCTCTCAATGAAAAGTTTACATATGAGGCATTTGAAATGACTCCGGTCCTCTCATTCATCCACTTTTCTGTCTCTTCAGATTCATTTCTGGCTTCCAGTCCTGAAAATGATCAGGAAGAAACAATTGGATGCTGTGAGTGAAGACTGTCCATGAGAGATCCGTGTGGTTCTCCAGCCGCACTGCCCCGGAAAGTCTCCTCAGGGCACTAATGCCCAACAACAGAGAACTGGATTCCATGGTCCTATCAGGCAGGGCCACCTTGTGTCACCTGGTTACATCTCCTTCATCTTAAAGCCAAAGGGCTGCCAGGTAAATAGTTACAGGGTCTGTCCTCCAAACAAAGCAGATGACCTGTCTGTGTCTGCCACAGGGTAGGACTCTAAAGAGGCCCCTAGGTGATGAGTTTCAGCTTAGAGTAATATTCAAAGATAAAAAAAGAAAACAATTGAAATCTGTACTGCAATCTCACAAACAAATTCCAAGGAGAATATACATGTGAAAAGCTGGCAAACTGTCTTTAAACTCTTAGCTACCCCCACAATTGTCTTCCTTCCTCCTGCCCCCTCATTCAGAAACTCTTTCCAGCACCCGTTTGCAGCCTTTCCTAATGTCTTACCACCACCTCCAGTTCCTGCTCCCTGTTTGCCTGGATCAATTTTATTTTTTTCTTCCTCCAGCAAATCCTCTAGCTGCTATCTACAGCACGGTGGCCTAGGGGCCATCTACAGGCAGTCATATAAACTTCTTATAAAAATGCACATCTTGGTCCCCTTTTCACCTTTAACTCCACTCAAAATGCCTTTCAGCAAGTCCCGGGACTGGCTGTTTTATCTGGTGGGCATGTTTGCCCTCGGTTTGAAGGGCTCTTTCCTGTTGGAAGGGCAGCCTAGAAAGGAGGTGCTGTCACAAAAGGTAATTTTGATCTTGAAAATAGGATTTAGACTTGCTCATTAGGGCTGATCGAACTTGAAGAGAGGATGCTTATTTAATTACAGCGTATCCACTTCAGATTTAAATGAATGGTTAGTTAAATTTCTTGAGACGTCTATTGTGAAATGTGCTCTGTTAATCTTGTAGAGGCAGAAAGAAAGATATTGGCCAAGGCAATTTCGTGAAGCTTCTTTTTTTTTTTTTAACCTCTAATTTTAATGGCCTATAAAAGTATATTGGATTATAGTCTTAAGTCACCATTTCTCATCCCACAGATCCCAATTTGGTGATCGTGTTTTGTTAGGGTCTTTCAAATGTCGTTCCGATGTCCTTGTTGACTCCATATTGGTTGCCAGTTGAGTTCCTTTTTACATAGTCATTCTAAACACCTTTCTTGGTCTGCTTAGAATGTTACACATTATTTTTCTTCTCTGAGATTCTGTATCTTCTGCTTTCTTTATTAGGACCTAATCAATCATAATTATACTATGACATATATTGAAGTCTTCACACATCATATATTTTTGTCTTAATTTATTTAAGACAAAGAAATACACATATCTTACCCTAAGGGACTAAGAACTACCTTTCTCACTCAAAGTCAGGAATAGCAATTCCCAACAAGTCACAAAGATCTTGAGGACAATTGTTTAAATTATACTAAGTAAGGAAGAGAGAGTAAGTGGCTGAAAAATGAGTGTGGCTTGAAGGTGGTTATTTCTCTACAAATGAAAAGCCTGTCATGTTAGGCTAACATAACCCCAGAAAAAAATCTAAATTAATGACTAGGTAGCTGAGCTACCAAATTTTCAGGGTTCAGAGCCCCTTTTGGTTTCAACCTATAGTGGTGGCAGTGACCTTTTTAAAAGTAAGAAGGGAGATGAATAACAAAATACAGGGGACAATTGATCACATTTTATCCCCTAAATTCTGAGTGTCTATGAAACTCATTTTTGTACTAAGGGAGTAGAAGAAATCAGAATAGCATTTGTCACTGGAGCGATTTTTGCAAATGCAAATGGAAAGCAAAAAAGGCAGTGACAGAAATAAAAGCTCAACTAGCCACAGTAAGTGCAATTAAGAAGGTGCTTTGCCCCACTTTCCTGGACTCTGAGGATACACAGTGTGATGTGCGATGTGTTTCTGCACTGCCCCAGCCTCATTTGGCAAAGACAGGGAACAGTGTGCCCACTGACCACAGCATGGGGCTCAGGAGGTGGACATAACTGAGGGCCAGGAAGGACTGAGCAAAGATGCAGACCTGGCTCGCCCCCTCGTTCTCTAGAGCAGCAGTTCCCAAAGCTGGCTGGTCATCAGAATGACCTGCAGAGTCTAAAAAATAAAACAAAATAAACTCCCAGACTTCCAAACCCTAAACTCAGATCGAGTGACTCAGTTGTGGGGGACGGTTCTGGGCATCTGTATATCCCCAGATCTGGGGAAGGATTGTTGATTTAAAAAAAACCACATGAATATAGTATCTATGTAATTAGCTGTGTAGACATACATTTAGGACTTCAATTCTACCTGTCGCTGGCCTATTAAGTTGCTCCAAAATGCAAATTGCCTATTGCTTATTGAGAAATACATTGTTCTCTTCTTCTGCAAGTCCCATTTGTACAAACAAGCTCTCAGACAAAAACAAAACCCATGTTGACTCCCTGGATTTGAGAATCTTAACAAATAATTATTTATTAAATGTGATTTGGTAATGTTACTTTTTCACTAGTGACTTTGATTTAAGGGATGGTAGATCACATTTTTTTTAAATGGAAGGTCACCTTGACTATGCCAATCACATGCTATGGTAGAAAGAACAGAGATTTTAGAATGTGGAAGCCTGGATTCAAGTCTTCTTTCTGCTGATTATTAGTGACATAAACTTAGTGACTTAAACATCTCTCTAAGCTTCAGTTTTCTTGTTTACAAAATGGGGCTGAAAATATCAGTCTCATAGCAGCTCTTTGAGAATTAAATGAAATGACACATATGACGCCTCTAGAATATTTCCTACCCCAAATTAGATGAATAAATATTAGCTCTTTTTTTTTTCCTCTTTCCTTTCTTTTTTTCCCCTCATTGTTCCCTGCCCAGCCCCACTATCTTCAACTGAAAATGGAGTCTGGTTAAAAAAAAAAAAAAGAGTAAAAACAGAAAAGAAAAAAATTCAACCAAACTTCATATGAAACTGTGATTGGCAAACATTCTATGAAGGGCCAAATAGTAAATATTTTAGGCTAATGTCATATGATCTCTGTGGCAACTACTAAACTCTGCCACTGTAGTAAGTAAGCAATCATAGACAAAAGTAAATGAATGAGCATGGCTGTGTTCTAATAAAACTTTATTTGCAGAAATAAGCTGCAAGCCAGATTTGGCCTACAGGCCATAGTTGACCAACACCTGATAATACAGAAAGACTTTTTAGAAATACATGAGTTGATGTAGGACATAATGCAAAGGGCACATTTCTTTATTTATTTTGTCATGGTTTTTCTTAGGTTATTTTTTATTTTTAGTTTCTTTTTTTTATTGTTTGAGATTCACTGAGGGTACAAAGAATTAGGTTACACTGATTGCATTTGTTAGGTAAAGTCCTCTTATGATTGCATCCTGCCCCCAAGAGGTGGGGAACTTTTAAAGTAAAAAAAAAAAAAAAAAATAGGTTCAAAATCCCTCTTTCCCACCAATTAGCGGAAGGACTTTGCTAGTTACTTCAAGTCTTTGAACTCAATTTTCTGACTTATAAAGATAATAGGGTTTAGCTAACAAAGCTCTGAAAAAACTACCATCTCTTAGTCTGTATTTTTTACTTTTTTGGGAGACAGCAGTCTCCTGGAGAGAATTAGCAATGAATTCTAAGCCAAATTTCAGCATCTGATTTGTTTGTTCTTTCATGGTTGATCAATGAATCATGAAGAACAACAGAAGCTCTTGGGTCACATGCATGATTCATTTGATGAAAAAGAGAAAAGATAACATTTAGTCAAAATAAGTGTTATTTTCTCCACAGACACAAAGAAGCAATCAGAATATTTATTTAATTCCAAATGTCATATGTAATTCCATGTGATTTAAAGTCAGTTTGGGACGTCAGTGGCTTAAGACCTGAAAATTGAAAGTTGAGCTTTTTTCAAAGGAAGTCGTGCACTCACTCTAAGTGTGATATACTAATTCGGGGGGTGAAAGAAATCAATAAAAATTGTTTTTCAAAAGGAAACCATTGTGGAAGTATGATTTTGTTTTTGTTTTGTTTTTCTTTTAGGAGACTCTGCTTTCATGTTATTTATTTATTTTTTAATTTCACATTAATATGAGGGTATAAACGATTAGGTTACAATGTTTGTGTTTGTTAGGTAGTAGAAGTATGTTTATACTAAAACAGTAAGTGTGCTATGTCTTGCAAGATAAAATGCTAATACACACTAGAAAAGTAAATCACACATTGTTTTGAAATACTTGATGGGGTAAACGAAAAGGGGCTGAATTAAACAGTGGAGGAACTAATTTTTAATTTTGGTACCACTACCAAGTAGCCCACACATGGCATTTCTCTCCCTTGACTCAATTAATTAAGTTCTTTTTGGACAACATCATAATAGCTATTATTTAGTAAGCCCTTACTAGGCACCAGATGATGGTTTTAGTGAATTATTCCATTTAATCCTCACCAAAACTCCAAGAGAAAAGATTTGATGCTCTTATTGACTTACAGATAAGGAAACCGAGGCGCCGAGATGAGTGACTTGTGCACAGGATGTCCAGGAAGCAGAATTTACTCTCTACTGTGCTGCCCCCTAATGCCTGCTTTTCACCTGTCCTTTCCCAGCTCTGAGATTTGGACCAAGTCTTAGTGACATTGTTATTTAAATGTTAATTTTCCCTGACAGGCATTCAAGGTCCCCTCCAATGTGTTCCCAGCCTCCCCCTCACCTCATTCCTCACACTCCCGGTGCCTAAACCCTCCCAGTGGGCCCCCAAGAGTCTTCTGCATTCCCCTTCACACCTTTGACCCTGGACTTCCTCATTCGCAAAACACTTCCCAGATCTTCTCTTCCCATTTATTTCCTCCTGTCCTCCAAGGCCTTACTCAAGTCCCATCTCCTCAGGACATAGGTGCAGTGGAAAGAGCGTGGGGGTTATGTGAGTGGGGTCTGGCCCTGGCCCTGTCACAAACTCTGCATGGGAACTGGGAAATGTCCCTTAGCCTTTCTGGGCCTCAGTTGTTTGATCTGAAAATCAGTCATGTTAGACTCAGTTAGAAGTTTTCCAACTTCTT